AATAATCCTTGCATTTGATATAGCGCTTTTCATGTCAGGAGGACATCCCAAAGCGCTTCACAGAACACACTGTAAAGTGAATTGACTGTATATTTGTGGGCGAACGCGGCAGCCAATTGCGCACAGCAATGTCCCACAAACAGTCGTAGATTGAAAATGACCAATTTATTATTGTTTTTGGTTTTGGAGGGATTATTATTAGGCGTGTGGAGTAAGGAAACTTGCCCAAGGTTTCGCCCTGCCTGGAATTGAACTCAGGTCTCTCACTTGCAAAGCGAGTGCTCTAACCACTGAGCTACAGGACTCCACTGATGATGATACAAGGACAGCTAGTTTCATGGAAAGATATGAATTATGATTGACCTGCATATCTAGGTAGTTTTGGTCCATTAAAATGACATATTATAGTACCCTGAGGAAGTCTAAAGGTCATGACTCCTGCCTTGGTATAATTAATCTTTTACATTGCCAGAACATCATTATATTTAACAGGTTACATTTGGTATCTACAATATTATACAAAATTGTTGCAAGGATGACCTATCCTATTGTAGTAGTGCCTATTATGTGCATCAATGCATTTTGGATTTATACAAATGAGCCATATCTGAATTTTGTTTATAATAGAAGAAATAACTAGTAATTAATTTTGAGGTATAAAAGTGTTAATTTTTTCCAAAATCCTTAATTAAGTAGGAGGTAGTATATAGAATAATTGATACACTATATAAATTAGTGTGATCTCTGCAGAAAAAAGTTTTTAAATAGTTTACAGTGTAATATTATCAACATCATGAAAAAGCCAGTTCTCTGTATTTACAGATGTATGTTTTATAAATGTATAAAAACACAATGCTTGCAGTGATTAATATACACATCATTAATTAAATGATATAATAATAATCCTTGCATTTGAGATAGGGCCTATCATGTCTTCGAGATGTCTCTAAGCGCTTCAATGCTAATACGTACAGAATAGTACTCTCCAAATCAGTTACATTCTACCAGCTAAAGTAAGCAACTTCTCTCCACTTCCATTCTACTGCAGAGCTTTATCCCAACTAGAGCAGCCTGAGGCAAACTCAGCAATGGCTAAAGTGATTTTTCAAATAGTGTGTTCCTTTGGGTTAGGTTCAGTGCTGTACAGGTTCCCAATGTCTCACTATAGTACAGCAATTGTGAATCAAATAGTGTTATTTTCCATGGTCATATCCTGAATGCGATCAGCTTTAGCAGGACATCCATCTTTGCTCTTGGTTGAAATGGAAATGTATACCTAACTGCATAGCATCCAATTCTACAGTTGACTTTCCTGAATCAGGGTCAACATGTGTTTGGTTGTGGATCGTTTTCAACAGACCTGCAAAGCAGGTAATTTTAAAAATAGACACAAAACTGTCTGAATTTACAGTGAGCTGAGCAGTGTCAGAAAGAAAAAAATCACTCTGTGCATGTCCAATTCTGAAAGAGAAGGCGAGCAAAGTGCAGGTTTTGCAGTCTCCTACTTTTTTTTTGCTGTGACAGTAGCTGCTGCTAAGCTGCGGCTATATTTGCCTGAAATCTCCGACACTACTGGCATAACAATAATGCTCTCTGTGTCATCCCGCAGGAAAGAAGCACTAGGCATGCCACATTAATTTATAATATTATCTGTCACATTGATCTTTCTGCCTATCTGTAAACAAGTGTTCTACTACTGCTCTTTATGCATCACATTATGCAGGGGAATATCATTGTAATGCAGTTCTCTGGGGCCAAAAGCTCAGAGGCTGCATTATAAGCATAGTGTAAAAATGGCGGGCTCCTGGGTTTGTTAAATTGCCGCTAATGACATTTCCTTTGCGTTGTGCTCCATGCACAGGAAACATCTCTGAAGTCACTTTGTGATGTACGTGGGTGGACTCCACGTGCAAGAAACACCATTGACATCAATTCCTTTGCAAAGTGACATCAGTGGCACTATGCACAGTGAGCAGAAAGTGACATCAGCGACACTTCATGCTCTGTGCGCTTACCAACAATGTATACGAAGTGAGATCAGCGTTGACCTGAATACCCGCGAGTTTGACATTTTTAGAGTGGGATGTCAGATGTACCATGGTTCTGATTAACATGGGCTCGCATTAGACCCAAACTTTAGTTGAAACAGCATCTAAACACTCGATAGAGGGTGCTATAACAAGGTTCCCTTGTCGTATCATCATTAATCAGATCCTAAAGGGGGTGTGCTTGAAGGAAAAATCACTACACACAGACTATGGAGCTTCACAACTGAAGCTGGAAGAGTTGAAGAGTTTTTACTTTCATCCTTTATGGTGCATCTTAATTTTAAAAAATACTATTAAAATAAGCCCCTTCCTGTATAATCTGTTAAATATAGTAAGTCTGCTATGTCTTTGACAAATTGTTTTATTGACATGATATTTAACCTTGGATGTGAGTGATATTGAAACTGCAGAACATCCTTATCTTACAGTTACATTCAAATCTTTACCTAAACCTTCTGATATCAAGTTATTATTATCTAATCATATGCTAGCTTTTGACTGGTGGATAATGATATTTCACTTTAATGTTTTGCTGAAATTCCAGAATACAACCACAAGACAATATTTTTAATAATACAAATATTATTATTAAAAATAATATGTGCGCTGATGTTTTCTAATATTGAGCTAACTTTGGAAATGAGTACACATGCACCAACATTGAACCTATAACAGCAACTCAAGGTTAAAAATACTAGTCGTTTGTAAGATACGTATGTTCTGCAGTTTGAAACAAGTAAAAAAGGCAAGCTGTGATATCCCCATAGTTAAGTAGCTTGCTGACGCTCCCCTTAAATGGAATAAAACTGTCACAGTCTTGGGAAATTATTATTAAAGGATTCTAGTAAATATAATACAAAAGTATTGGGTACAATTTATGGTTGTGCGACCATGTGTAACTGCAGGTAGATATAATTACAGAAACCCTTATTTACATTGAAACCAACAAGCAATGAAGATAATTACAGGTGAATCTGTTATCTGAACATTACCAGCAAATTGTTTGCTTTATGTTTTAGGTGGGATGATTAATGAATCAGTTAAGGTTTCTATTTAAGGTTTAAGATTGTGAGCACAGAACTAGAGATACAATGTTAAAAAGTCTTAAGCAAAATTAAAGTTTGTAAGATTAGAATGGAACGTGTAGCAGATTTAAATGGTCAATTATATCTTTCAAATATGACTACCTTGTTAACATATTAGAGGCTATGCAAATTGGAGTAAACTGAGATAAATAAATACTCCATGGGACACGGAAAGAGTGAAAGGGATCAGGTAAGTTTGAGTAATTATTGACCTTGATAACATCTACTTGTAATTGGTAAATCTCATAAGCACACAAAATGAAGGGCAGTGCATTTCTCGGAAAGAAGAGAATATTTGCTCACTGGACAACTCAATAGATTTACTGATAAGTAGACAATTACTCACTCTGTCTCTAAACTGGATTGGGTAATGTGACCAATCATAAGGATAACATAATATCAATCAGAAATTTTTCAACAACCATCAATACCTTTGTAATGATTTGAAACATTTAGCATTAGAATTCAAGTAGTTAGATTATGAATCCTTATATTTGCAAATTATGTTTTGTGATAAATCCAGAGTGGGAGCTCTCCTGCGTGTCTATCATTGTGATAAGCCGAGCAATGTTTAGATACCAATTAGTGAACATTTTGTAGAGCTACCCAACCGACCGTAGGAACAGGATTAATAATGAAATATCTAGGCAGATCCGCATCTTAAGAGAATTAGCTCTCTTCTCCCTACCAGAAGGTTTTATGTTCTTATGTTAAGCCCTAAAGCTGTCTTTTACTGTAAATTGATATGGTTAACTGCACTTATCAATCCATAGCTATTCCACCAGATATGATATAAAGAGCAATGAAGTGTTCCATTTGTGAAGGAAGGTAAAATTGCTAGAACTAGACCAATGACACTTGACCAGATGATTTTAACATTTTACAGCGACTATAGTGAAGTCTCTTCTGTCATTCAAAGTGAAGAGGACTGTAGATGGATGAGCGCAACCATGAGAAAGTAAAGGTAACAAACAGGGTAAATAGAAGTTTGCCCAAAGCTAGTTGCAATGTGTGGTGTTCAGTGCTTTAAAGGAAGTATCTGGCCCTTAGCTACAGAGATCGCTGCCTTATTTTTGAATTAATGTGATGCATTACCCTGTTAGAGGGCATTATAAATACATGCAGGTTTTCTGTGAGCATTTAGGCCATCAGACTAAGGACATTCTTACCTCGTATCTCACTGTGATAGCAATAAGACATCAAGCAATATGGGCAAAGAGGGAGGGGAGATGTGATAATATGTATCAACTCTTTTGTAATATGTTCATCAAGTGATTCTGTACTGAGTAGATACATAACTGTGATCTGTGTAATTAGGCTGTTAGTGTTGTCACCAAGGAAGTAATCCATTGACTTGATCTATAATAGTTCAGTGAGAATTTTAGAATTATTGAAGGACAATAAGTGAGACAAGACATGAACAGATTATTCCTATGTATATATATGACATTTTTTTGTTTGAGAATTGTTTCGTGTATTCTCCTCTTTTACTCTCCCGGAGGCACTCACAAAATGATCATTCTTTATGTACAAGTCTAGACAGTGAGTGTTGACAGGCTATTCATTTATGGAAGGGATCATAACCTGATCCTGTTCTCATCCAATACATATGCCCATTTTCTATCAGGCTTCAGATTTACCATTAATTATTACTAAATATTACTGGACCGCTTTTGAATATATACATTGTAATTCATGAACAATAAGCTAAATTTTTAAAAATACATATACCATTATTCTCATCATGATTCTCACAGAATGTATTAAAGATTACGTAGACACTTACATAGATCTGAAATGTCAGTGAAATCAAGGACAACGATACTTTGCTTTTATAATTGTCTCTCAGTGGCATGGTTTTACTCACCGCAGAAACAATCAGCTCTCCACCAAGACTTTGAATTTCAGCTTTGACCTGGCTGCAGATTTTCAGCTGATGGGAGTAGAGCTTGATCTGTTCCAGGTATGCCAACAAGTCATGTTTACAAGACAGATCTTGACACTGAAAATACAAAAAACAGCATTGATTGACATACAGGTTCTTTTAATACTAATGTAGTAAAAAAAATTGAAAAATGTGAGCTTCAGTGCGATTTCTATATCAGAAAACAATATTTAATTTTACAATATTAGGATACCTTTTTGCAAAACTATAAACCATGCAAAGGCTACCGTGGCATTCAATGTGCATGGATACATTTTCTGGTTGTACTAAGAACTGCTTCTCTATAAATAAAGAAAAATTCCCAGAGGAAGAACTTTGTAAATTGCGTATAGTAAAAAGAATTGCACAGAATATGTGAATTCTAATATGAATATTTCGGTATTCCCAGTACAGCAAATGTAGAGGAATGCTTTCTGAATATGCTAATTAAAAATAGTCACAGACACTTGGTCAGTATAACAGGACAGTGGGTGTTAACTGTCAGCTCATCCACAACAAAGCACAAGTGACTCAGCAACCTGCTGAAAATACAGTTCTAGATTTTGAAATGGGTTTGGAAGTCACGCATTCTCATTGCAGATCACATGCCTAGCAAGGGTCTAGTCTCAATTCTGTAGAAATCCCAAACTGTATTGCTCAAACTACCAAAAAGGTTAATCAGTGTTAATGTAATTTTATTTTTATTCAAAGACAATTAATAACTATGCATTAGAAAACCACACAGCAATAGATCTCCAGAAGGAATCAAATACAATATTTTTATGTCGATCTAAACACACAAACGTTTCCACCAGAGTATGCAGTACAATTTTTGTTACTTAGTTCTTTGACAGCTCATAGCCTGCCTGTGATTAGACTTGTCGTCTGTGACTTATCCTGCTTGGTCGACAATGCATAGCTGATAGTTTGGATGAGCCTGGCTTAATTTTGCATTCATTCCTCTACTCAGGCATGATCTTATGTGGACCATTAGTGAAACAAATGAGACAACAGAGGAACTTATTCAAATGCAGTGACACATTTTGCAGACTTCAAAGTAAAATTTGTCTGACTGCTTTAATAATAATCTGGTAAATCTTCTTATCGCACACAAATTTTAAAGGTTTGTACACATGTCTTACTTTTAAAGTACTCCTAAATTTCAAAAATACAGTTGGTAAAGTGATGTCATATTCTCATTCAACATTTGTAAAATTCAACAATTAAATTATCATGCTAAGACAATATATTCTAGGAAAGAAACAAGTATTTAAATATTCTGCTAACAATTCTGGGTACAGCTTACTTCAGCCAAGGAGCTGTCTCACTTTAGATGCCAATAATGCATAAATTTTACCGTACTTGTGACAATTTGCTGTGAAATTCATGAAGAATCACAGCATAAATCGGGTTTAAGGTGCATTCACTTTGAAGGTTACCTGCCAAGATCGCTTTGACCTTTAATTGACTAACTACGCAAGAACTTTTCGGAGACCGTTTTAATGTTAGAGTTGATTCATTTCCAGCTGGTTTAGTAAGAAGCTAGGTTTTGCCTTTGGTTAGTAGATTCTTGTGCATATTCTTATTTGCATCCAATTTCTTACAGAGTTGCAAAGAGTTATCCTCAGCCTCCTCCTGCAAAAGTGATCCAGATCGGGAAATATAAATCAGTTTTCCCACTTCAAATCACTACTGCTGGAAGCGATTTCGTATCAGCTCTAGCAGAATAACTGGTTGTTAGATAAGTGTCAATACAGGACCTAGATATGCTGAGTGTTTGTTACAAACATAAGGATTACCAATAATAGATTCACTTTGTAGCTGCGGTACGTTTTCATGCTCGTTCAGCTATAAAATGGCATTACAAGCACCGGGTTTGTACAGAGGATATTAAAATGTTACTGGAAAGACCTGGACTGCTCTATTTTGCTTTCTGTCCATCAATAGTAGCAAGTTATTCAACACCAAACAAACAGCAGAATTGGAAAACTGCAGTTCCTTCTTTTCACTACAAAGTATGAATAAATTATGATTGATAAAGGATGGATCAAACTAATAAATGTACACACTAACGGAAGAACTAGAAAAAATGCCTGAATATATCTTCAAAATGAGCTGATGCGTGGTGCTGTTTGTGAATACAGTCAAGTCATCAGAGACAAGCCATGTGAAAAACAATTGCATTAACCATCACCACCATCATCATAACAGATCAATAAAAATATTTTTTGCACCAAACTTAGTTCATAAATTTAGCAGTTTTTGCCTCTTTTCACCATTTTCGTGCTGAGAAGTAATTCCCCCATTCCCCAGCATAGCTATCTACCCTCATAGGTTTGCACATTGCCATTCACAACAGCTACATTTATCAATTCCCATGCCACAGCCTCATCAGGTGCTGTTGTGGAACAAATTTGATTTGCTTTCTATAACAGCCTATGGCACAATTATACTTATATCTCATATTTTTTCCACAATAGATCTAAATCTTATAAGCTGTTGACTTTCTAACCTCATAGCATTCAGAATCATATTTGTAGTCTGAAGTTTTCCTTATATTGAATTGTTGCTGAAAAGCACAGAAAGAAAATATCAATTTCAAGAGTTAGTCTCATGCCACTAAAAGAAAAGGCAGTTTCTTCTGATGTCTTGGCCAACAATTCTCCAGGTAAACTGGACTTTCACTTCATCGCTTTTTGTAGGACCTGTTGGGTGCAGATTGGCCTCCATGTTTGCCTACACATACACAGTTACTACACTTGACAGGCATTAGTTGTAAAGTGATTTCAGACAGTTTGACATTATTGATGCTATATAAAATGCAAAGATTATTAATTATGATTATTATACTAATGAACGCTTTGTTACTAAACATTGACAACATAGGAAATTTTGCAATACATTTCATATTTTTATAATCCAATTTGTAATTATTACGGTATCAAATTTAATACTTGTTTAGCAGATTCAGATTCTCTTGAAATATACCAACTCATAGACTTGCAAAATATTTACAAGTGATATAAACAGAATTATGAAGCAGATTCTTATCTGAATTCCTACTGCACTTAAGCAGCTGTTGATAAGCCAGTGCTAATCATCCATCATGCATTGTGACACAAGTGTTTTCTGACGTGAATACTGAATTCTCGCTAAACCCTTGATGTGAAATCACAACAGCATTGATGAACAGAAGAGCAATATGTGGTTCACAGACAGATGTTATCAACTGAGAAATAGATTGTTGTATTTCAAATAAGAACAAATCAAAAGTAAAACTATTTTGAGTTATTTGTTATTTAATATTCATGTTATTATTAGAGCTGCACTATAAAAAGAATGTTCAGGTCAAGATATCTACTGATTTGAAGATGGCATACTGGATGGGTTTCCAAGTCGATGGTGCAATTTTAAGTTCAAATCCATCCTGACATTAAATTGTGCAAGTATCATCTGTAAAATGCAATAGATTGTCAATGCTCTACAGGGTTGCAGAGTTGAACATTTTAATATAATAGTGTACCTCTGAAAGGAAGAAATAAAACTCTTTGTTTCATCCATTGTAGCACATTACTGGTTGATACTCATGAATTATCTGTCACCTGTCATAACGTACTTAAATATGTGAAAGAAAAACAGAAACGATACCTGGTTAGCAATCTGCCGTGCTAAAATATCCATTCTGGAACCCGACTCTGAGATTGTTTTGGCTGCATTGATTACATCAGATATATGTTTCAGTGGCCCTCGACCTCTGTGGGATGCAAATCAGATCATTTAGCTGCAATACATGGCAAATTATTAAGGCATTTAGACATTAAACATTTCAAAAGTGTAAGATTCCACATTTAGATTTGTAATGTGTTTATAAGTGGACCCTCACACAGTTGTCATTATGGTCTTAATAATTCCATAACAACCAACACAAAGCAAAGGGAAAGAGGTTTTTCTACTGATATTGGGTGTTTACAAAATCATGCTTTTTTTTCACTATATTAAAAAATGGATTGGGGAGAGGAGCTTGGATTATTTAGGTTCGTACAGCAGAGGACAAAATTCCAGTAAGACAACACAGAGGGCAACATTATCTTCAACGATAAGTATGATCGAGCCATAGGTCTCGACAAAGCAAGGGTAGAATAGGCAGTAGAATGGCAATTGAACATAACACTCAAATTTCCTACAATTTTCTTGTAAAGGATTACTTAAAGTCAGGCAGACTTGACCCATTTCTAAAATGTCCTACGTTTCTAATCTGCCCGTTTTCCTAGTCCAACCTGCAGCAAATCATACAAAGAATATAATGCAAGACCAAATATATGTTTAAAAATAAAGCAAAGAACCATAAGCAATTGGTTGCCTCGTTTCACCTGCAAATACACAGTAAATTCACTTTACAGTATATTCTGTGAAGCACTTTGAGATTTCTCGAAGACGTGAAAAGCGCTATATCAAATGCAAGGATTATTATTATTATAAAGTAGGAAAATAAAACATGATCTCGTTTTAGAAAAAAAATAAAATCCTAATGGTCTTCATAAGCAGCAAGTGTGTCAAAATGTGTTTCTCCTAATCATTTTGCGTTTACTAAAGTATTAAATTGACCGACAGAAAAGGATTAATCTTCTATCCCTGCCATTAATTTTCAGAGGTATTCAAGATGGGATCATTTTCCATTGCATTTAACTTTTTTCTATTTTGCTGGATATCAAATATATCAATTATTAAATGTGTAAGCTTCACTAAACATGACAATTAACTTGTTATGAAGTTATTAAGGTTATGATGTTATGCATTGCTGATAAAAAAATGTTCACATATTTGGATTCTGTGGTGCAAGCTTAATGAGAAGCTTTGCTTTATGATACGAATTCTAGTCTACAAATGTGGATCAGAATTTCAGTCTGGGATTAAATCACTCTGCTGCACTAAGCTAACTTCAATATTTATCTTCTCTGCCAAATGTGAAAGATAAACTCAAAGTGAATTCATTGCACATCTTGTACTATAGTTTTATTGGAGGTGGAACTCTAAGAACATTAAGGCAGCAGGCACAAGACATGCTGTACTGTATAGGTCCTCTCATCATGCTGAAGACAGATTTTTCATCAAATATCTGATGAGGAAACTCTGAGGCTTTGGCAGCAACTGATGGAAGGCTTTACCTGGGGTCTGGGTTTGTGAACACATTTTCATGTATCCAGGGCTTGGAATCCACGTTGATTGGTATTCACAGAAGTAAGTAGCTACTGCTCAAGCTCTGCACCTCCAAGTGGAGGCATGTTATATGCTTTTAGGTCACATTCAACTTATGTGGAACTCTCAGTCGGGCTTGGATACTCTTAAGCATAGTTTCTATATGTGTCAGACACCTGGCTGACAAAAAGGCTTATAAATTAATTTCTCTTTCGTGCTTCTGCTTATTGCTTCCCCTCCAGGATCATGTCCTGTGGCCAATTTTCATGTGAACCCTCGACAACACCTTGGGACATCCTCCTGATGTGAAAGGCGCCATATAAATGTAATTTGTTGGTATTTTGCTGTTGATAAGGCATGCTGGAATGCTATTTAGTCATCTGGATATCACAGCAAAGTCCAATCCTCTTGTCATCTGACTTCCACATGTGAAGACTTTCTAACAGTGGTCATTGGATAGTGAACAAGAGGAGAAACTTTGACTAACTTTTCTCCTTCAACAACAACTTGCACTTATATAGCGCCCTCCACTTACATAGCGCCTGTGGACGGGCAAGGCCATAGTATTTTATTTTAATATTTTATTTATTATTTTATTATGTAGTGTATTTTAATGTCGTGCCTGATCTGAGATTTGCTAAAACAATACAGATCTATTTAGGGCCTATACGATTGAACTAAATCAAAGTAGACAGATTTACTGACTGAGTCACATGGGGAAGCTTGATTGAAGAATTCTAACACCTCAGCAATTCCATAAATCTATAAAGAAGTATGCTTCTCTTGCATGGGTGGTTCTGACAAGAAAGTTTTCCCAGTGAAGGTTCTATTGACTTTAGCTTCAAGGTAGACTCTTGCACATTGGTGGCCAACCTGTAGCCACAGGGCCATCAAGAAGCGCCACCCTCTCCCCCCCCATCCTCCACCCCCTGAACATTTGCATGAGTCTCGGTAAGTCTGCATTTCAATTAGTGGTGTGTTTTCAGTTTTTTCTTGATTATAGCATAAATCAAGAAATATTCAATCAAGGAAATGTATTTAGTTGGCTAACCATAACGGTTGGCCACAACTGCTTCAGTAGATACATTTATGTTAACACGAAAAGCACCACTGCTTCAATCATAATGCAGAACAATTGGCCAAACTCTTCCTAGGTTCTGCCATTGTATTGGAGGATTTTTAGATAGATATCTAAAAAGCAGTAAACTACAGGCATATGGGGAAAATGCAGGATAGGAGATTGAAAGATTTGCTAAAACAATACAGATCTAGTATAGAATATACTAGATACAGAAGGGCTAGTATAGAAAAGATGGGTCAAATGGCTGCCTTTTGTGCTGTAAATTTCTATTATAGGTTTCTATCCTAAGAGACCAAATTCCAGTGTTTGGGCTACAGCAATTATTTGTCAACATGGGCACAGGAATCTTGGCAAAATTGCAGGCCTTCATTTACTCTTTTTAAACTGGGAGATGCAGTAACATTTTCAGGCAGAATAGACTGAGATTGGAATCTCAGCAAAACATAAAGAGCAGAAAGGTTATTAATATTTACTGATTCTAAACAAGCAGCTGTGGCCACTGAGACGAGTCTAGATATTCTGCTGTCCAGAATATTTATTATTAATCTTGATGATGCTAATGCAAGTACCAAATCAACATTTGCAGTTACCCAAAGTTGTGTAGAAAGCAAGTTGTTATAATGAAAAGTATCATTTAATGGTATTACTGGACCATGAAGAGTGGCATCGCAGGATTTTATCTGCATGTCCTTATTCCAGTCAATTGATGCCACTGCATTAAGATACGTTTGCCCAGGTAGTCTAATTTTAAAATGCTGTAGATTTATAATAAAGAATGTTGCAAAGGGGATCTATTATATGTTTACATTTGAAGAAGTAAATAAATTAAAATGTCTGAAGTTTGTATTTCCACGCCTTGTTTTGTGCTTAAGAGGCTGTGTTCTGAAAAGATGTCATTGAGTAGACATGTGAAGAAGAGACTGGCCTGATGAGAGTACAGCATTAAAAGTAATAACAAATTGGATGAATGTTTTACAAGCTACATGACTGCTTTAGCCTCTAGTTAATTCAAAATTTGGTGGCCTATTGATTGCAGTCAAAAAAGTAATATTGGAGCTGAGACTGCCAGGCACATTTGCAAATAATTGTGTATTGCACGAGTTAACAGTATATTTTGTGTATATGATTACATTTGTAATCCAAGCATGCACCAAGTAATGCCAGTAAGAAAATGATTTGTACTATATTTGTGTCAATGCTTTGCAATAGAGACCATATATACTGACAGAATGCTCATGGCGGTCATTAAACCAGGAGATAAATATCAAACGGCCCTTCATACTGAAAAAAATACGTAATGGATATCTGTGCTAACATTGCAAACATAATTACAAAGAGAAGGGTAAATCATTAAATGAGTGCAGCAGAAAAACTTGTTACAAATAGAAAATATACATCAGGGTATAATTGATTACAATCTTTATGTAACTCATCAAGCAGACATTACAACACACTTGTGACCTTCTCACTAATATGTGTTGTTTAATCATTCATAAAATATCCAGTGGGGCCCTGTTGTGGATCCTCCGAGGGCTTTGTTCATTGTCACAACTGAGCAGACAAATCATTGCACTGTAAATTGTGTGTACTATGGCTCACAGTATCCATAAATCATTGCTTGAGCGGGGGGGGGGGGGTGAGAAACTTTCATGTATTAAACAGGAAAGCTGGATGTTCCCAGTCACGGGAACACTGGTCTGTGAACTGCTCCAGCACTTTTGTGCGCACGGTATATCTATTAAATTAGCACAACATTTATGCATTTCTCACTGAAAAGACCCATTAAGGATGAATATACAAAGCTATTAAGTGTCAATTGTGCTATTTTGCTCTGTTTGGGATATGTAGGTTTTTAACTCATGCATCAAAGCCACATCACAGATGTATTACAAAACTTTGATCTGCATCCAGAACTATTGGTTTGAATACCCTTCTCATCTACATTATGGACATTTTGTAAGGACTGCTAGAATTGACCTGTTATATTACCTGGTACCAGCCAAGGCCCTTAAGTGATACCAGGAAAGGGTGACACTGGCCCCAAAACAGATTATCCTGGAAGTCCATCACATGTTTCACATCGTACTCACTTATCCACACAATAGGCTTCAGTCTCCTCAGTCTCCCTTGCCAAATGCTATTTTCTCCACCTGTAATGCTGTAGTGATCCTTATTGAAATGAGCGTGTATATATGTAGATATCTGTGAACAGCTGGTAATTATCACCTCATTGCATTTGTTAATCAGGCCACAGAGTCTTAACATGGAAACGTCTTCCAATTGACTACAGTGCTGCCGTTAGTTTTATAACCCTCCAGAAATTAACACTCACAAACCACAATTTCTGTGTGTAAAGTTTTGGTTCAAAAATTATTAAAAAACACAAATAACATTCAAACCTCTTTACTCCGGAACTATTCAACAACCCAAATTTTGGCTGACATAAATGCAATCATGGGACAAATCATTTTAACTTATTGGTTCCATTTCTCTGTTTCAAACTGGGCACAAAAGGGGCATGTTGCTCTTCTCTGTTATTACCATTAGAAGCTTGACTAAAGTTGATCAAGTGGATCCTTGAATCAATAGGCACTTTAGCAATCATGGAGATAAAAGCTGTTGCATGCAGTTAGTGTTTGAAAAAATCACAGCAGTCATTTCCTCTCTTGAAAATCACAAAGAAGTCCAAGAGTGTGTTATGCACTGCAAACTAGGACAAGATGAAACTTCTGGTCTAAGTAAAATTCAAAGAACTAATATCAAAAAATTCATTGAAAGATGGATACTTGAGGATAAGTGAACAACTAGTGGTGATGCACGTCAAGTCTAACAGGATATAAAAAAGGAAAATTTAAAAGTTTGTAGGAAGTTGATGACTGTTGGCCTAAATACAAGACTACAGACAAAAAAAATAAAATCAGGCAATTCAATAGAGAATTGAAATGATAGGGTTGAAAAATACTTCAAAGGGAAAACCACAATTTGGTGTATCTAGCTTAAACTTGTCTCTTGCAGGGACAATGATGTCCTATGTACATCATACTAATTTATGAGAACTTTACTCCAATCAAGCAGAGTTCTCCTGTGGAATACTTAGGGTTCTTTCTGCAGGAGATACACATTATGTTCTGAACCATTTTCCCAATGTGACGTTCTACAGGTATTTATGCCATTTTCAACACTGATAGCCAGTCAGTTTCAGAGTAAACTATTCCACCAGGAAATATCAAGAAAGGTCAAGATAATACTTTTTTTTGAAGTTCACCATATCATAAGATGGTGGGTCACAATCTGATATAAATAAACTGATATAAAGTTCAATTAAAAGTCTGTATATAATCTCCCAAGCCTCCCTCTTCACTAAACACAAAGATCTTATTCACTAAATGTATCTTGTTCTTGGATAAAGAGGTCACCTTGTCTGCCACCCTGTTCAAGATTCAAGGCATGAATAGCAACTTGGCACTTCAGATGTATTCCAACTCCAGTTATTTCATCTTCTCCTCCAGCCACGCTGGTATCCAACTTGCCCACTTTGATAATTACAATGCTCGACATAAGCAAGAATTATTCTGTAGACATACACAGAGTCAATCTGAAACTGCTATAACTGAGGTATTATTAAACTTTGGGCGGTCTGCTATCTGTCCGCACATCAGCTTGTTAAATTTAGTTTCATGTGATAGGAACTCACAAAATTGTCATGTTGGATGCTGATAACTCTTGCAATCCAAGTAAAGCTCCAGGCACATTGTCACATGATCGAAACGTGAAAAGTACAAGTACAATAGCAATTAGAATCTGCTGTCCTAAAGGTTAAGGAATTTCTCTCTTTATTGAGCCCTTTCTCCCCTCCCTTTATTTGGTCCTTTTTATTATCACCACAAGAGACATTTCTTCACCTTTTCCAAATCGTCTATTTACTCCTCTGCTACTCTTCGGATTTGATATTCAGAGCAGGAGCATTCTACGAAGCAGTCTGGCACATTGTTCCAAGCCTCATCTAGAATGTAAGGGTATTACCCAGAGTTGCCAAACCTGCTGCCGGTTTCCTTCAGATGAAGATTGGACTGGAGTTGGGGCCATAAACAATGGAAATTGCAATATTCTGCAATGAACACTGCAAAACTGTGACAACTCTCAACAGACAGGGTTCAGACGAGTTTTTTTCCAGAATTTTGGGTAAGTATTCAGAGGTCACTGCATTTTCTCAGACTACAAAGTTCTGGATGACTTTAATATTTGCCCTTGAACCTGATCTTTGGCCATAATATTGGGTCAGTTACATCTCTCCAGTAGAACATTTAAAAACAAATATAATTACAGTCACGTGTACATCCAGCTATTATCAGATACAAAGAGCTACACTCAGTGTCTGCAGGTATGTTAGTTTTGTAGACGGCTTACTTTTGAGGATGCCTTTTATTTTAGCCACACCTGTTTGGGCTTTCAGCCTATCTGCCCCCAACTCTATCCCAGAGTCTCTTTACTTCACACCTTCTCTTACCTCTCTTCGAGGTCTGTCTGAAGACCTTCTTTGAGCGTACCTTCCGCCCTATCCAGGTCCCCCCCCCCCCCGCCCCCATCACTTTGGCCCCTACACCTCCCGATTCAACCCCTTGCTTGGGTGCAAATCCTTGCTATCCTCCCAGCATGAAAGGCGATATATAAATGCAACTTATTGTTGTTGCTTTATACCCTGATGAACACAGCATTCAAACTTTCCTCAACCCTAAATCAATTAAGAACTGTACTTGAGCAATGTTGCTCTTTAATTTCCTGCGTTTCTCTAATAGTCTGGCATTTATAGAGTTTATAATGTCCTGATATTTTAAGTTAAGCGTTTTTTTCAAATGTTTACAAATTGCAAATCGGTACCGCTTCTCCAAGTCATATTGTACACTCTGAATAGAGTACAGTACCATCCAAAACAAAAGATCAAGCAATGCACAAGCTAAGGGAGACCAAACTTAATACTGTAGTCAATACAGTATGAATTGAGTTATGGGTCAGTGAAATAGAGAGTTCTGATTATCATACTGTTCTTCCTCCAGGCTCAATGGAAAGGCAGAATTTTAAATTTCATTGTGAACCCATCAAATAGGGTATTCACAACCGCTGATGGTATTTGCAAGTCAGAATAAATTCAGCTCTTTGATTCTGCAGACAAATTTCAGAAACTCATAAATTGCTTCTGTTAACTTCCAAAGGGTCGTTTATTTGTATCAGCCCTCCAATTCTCTTCATGTATTGACTGCATCTAGAGAAGGGGCAGGCTAATGCTCTTATTTGGTTCTTCTTCAGATTATTAATTTCCTTCTATAACCTGACCAGTTCAAGGAGGCAGTGCTTTTAAAACCTTAACAAATATGTATTTTGTATTTTCAGGTAAGCTTGTGGTGTTGCAATTACTTTTTCAATTTTCCACATCATCAAACTTCCTTGTTAGATAGGTAACCATCCTGCCTCAAGCATTGTGTCTCTTCAGTTCTCCATTATAAAAATTCTGCCCTCTCTTCCTTGCATTTTTTTTGTTATTAATATTGTTTTCCACCAACTTCATAAAAGCACTTCCTCATGGTTCATTGATTGTTCTATTCTTCCATTAGCTTTTTACCTTGTCTAAAGAGCCACCATTTAACTGATTCGTTAATCTCTTCTTTAAAAAAGCCATTAACTTTGCAAGAGAGGAAATCTGTTATAGGTTACTATGAAAAGTTTCAAACTTGACATGATAAAGTTCGCCAAAACTGACACTATTCTGTCCCTGACACATCTCTTGTCTTATTACTGGTTGACCCCGTTGGTACGTGAGCTGGTTGAGTGTGGGTTAGTGTGGGTTAGCATGGGTTTGCTGTGGGCGTGAGATATAGACTTAGCTTCCAACACTGATTTCCTTCTGCAACATTACTGACCTTGAAGTCATCAGGTCCTGGTGATGCGACATCAGGCAACATACATATCATGTAGGAATTGAAGTCAGCGGTGACCTCATGACCTGGAGGTAGGGCTGGCAGCTATTTTCTTCCCCCCAGAGTTGCTATAATTTGGTGTATATTTTTTGTAACCCAGACATTGCATTCTAAACATGTTGCCCTCTACCACAGGAGAGTTCCCTAACTTTGTAACCAACAAAGCACAATCTGGAAAAAAATGCTCCAGAATACAAATGCTATTGCCAGACTGAACATATTTAAACATTAGTGTTCTCTTTCTCAATGGCTTGGTGAGTAAATGAACTGAGTTTTGTGCCATTGAATTCAAATAGATTGGGCTGTATTGGTATTCAAATCCAGGTCCAAGCAGGTTCTAACTTTAAACTAATAGGGTATTTTGATCAGTTGTGCACAGGAGCCTGTTTACTCCATGTGCAAATAACATAATGCACAAAATAAAATCTGATATTGTTAGACCTATCTTTTGCTATTATCATTCTTTGCATCACCGCCTCTCACTGAAGCCAAATAGCAACTTTAGATATTTAGATTTTTAAAATTCTAAATATATTTTGTTGTCCATAAAGAGTCAGTTTGATTACCTGGTAAAATCAGTCATCTCCATCATGATCATACACATTTTCTTAGCAAGTACAATGATGTCATTGCTGGTATCATCCCATATTTCAATTTCTGCATCAAGTTTACTCTTTACTTTCTTGAAATCCGCAACTTGCTCAGCAATCTTGGCCTTTTCTTCTTCTGGCAGCTCAGTCATCTTAGCCTGAAACATATCAGGAAGGAAAAGGATCATAGAGGGAGAGGTATAATAAATCTGATAGTACTTTCAGAATAATTTACTGCATCTGTCAAGAAAATTTGCATTGCTTATCATTGCTCCTTAATTTTCATCTACTTACCATCTCTCATTCCTATCCACTCAGTTACCCACTCTCAGCCATTCAGCCAGTCTCTTTAATATTGAATCAGATGCCTCATACAGAGGTATACAAAGGATCATCACATTGGCAGGAAGAAGTCAATGATTATTGGTTAAGCATAAGTTATAAAGGGTTAAAGTCAGTGACAACACACGACAGAAACTAAAAAAAAATCACAAACCACTCTCAGTTGAATCAGTGTCTCATTATCCAGACTATTCCTAATAACAAGCTGCTGCTTATACGACCACATAAGCTTGGTGAGAAGTGATGCAAATTAAAAATTCCTACATACCTTTAAAACAGAAGTAGCCCCATTCAGCCTCTCGAGCCTATTCTATTAGAGCATGGCTGATCTGTACCTCAACTCCATTTAGCCACCTTTGCTCCATATTCCTTGATACCCTTACCTACCAAAAAACTATCGAGCTCAGTCTTAAAAAATTCCAGCATCCACAGCCTTTGGGGGGAGAGAGTTCCAGATTTCCACTACCATTTGTTTGAGGAACTTGTCCGAAGCTTGATTTTAGAACCATGCAAGAAGGAGATTAACAGTAAAGGAACTTAAATCCCTGCCATCTGTTGCCTGTTGAGCTGATTTGTAGACCATTTTTTATTATGCTGAAAAGTATCCTTTTTAACTCTTGTCTTTAGAATAATTACAATACAATGTAATTTATTCACTGGTCACTTACTCAACCAGTGAAAAAGTGGTTTTGTATAAGTGAAAAAGACTTGCCACAGATATTTGCTTTTCAGCTGTTGACTATTCCATTGGTACTGTTGTTTGATTTGGATGTTTTGTTAGTCAAATTCTATTTTATTTCAGTCTATAAACTTCTGCTCTGTGTGACAATAACTGCTGTTCAAAAAGAATGTGGGATGCTGACATGTTTTCATCTAAAATCTAGTGCACAGAACAAGTGAGGGAATGGTTAATCCCTCAGGCAAGTATTCTAAAAGAGCTGATAAACATAAGCACAATTTACAAGATAAGAGCAAATGTGAATGCCACTTGCAGGATTGTTATGAGAGGTGACAGAACTGAAAACATTCCAAGCAAGTTCTTTGATCGATAAGATAATTAAATGCAAAGCATTGCTGACATCATAATCATGCACCAAAGAACAAATTCTTGTCTTTATGATTTCAAGATGATCTCACCTTCCTTTGACTAATATTTCAAGCACCAACTCACGTTTATATTTTGTGATAAATTTAAGTTACTTCTGTGCGTCTAGATTCAATAGTTTCTTCTTTAAAAATATGTAACCCTTGTTTTATAGCTAAGATGTGCCATTCATTTGCTCTTTTCATTATAGGCCATGTGAATAATAACTTATATTAGCAAATAAATTAATGATACCAAAATCTAAAATAAGTGTTTCTATTAATTGCACAGTAATATTCACTCATTCACTTTAATACACCCTTTGTCTTGCCACATTAACATCTATTGTCATTTCATACCCTGTCAGTTTTTCCTTCTGTTTGAACACTGGTGCGACTGCGGATATCATGGTCTTCCTCAAAATCAGACACATCTTCAAGTTCTTCAGGTGTCTGGGAGAAAAAAAAGTAAATGGAAATGTTATTAAAAAATCAAAGCAGAAATGGATGAGAACTAAATTCTCAATGTATTTGAACGTTTAGTCACTGAACCTATGACCATGATTGGCGTTTTCATAATGCTATTAAATCAAAAATCGCAAGGTACCAGTCTAACCCATTATTTGACAAGTTTAGCATCGAGCTTTAAGCTACTTTTCAAAGTTTTACTATATGATACTATACGATTAATCTGCTCCAATTTACATATCCCAATGGAGACCAAATGGAAAAATCATTGTATGTTTTATAAAGTACATTTTCTGTAAAGTTTGGGGGCAATGATAGTGCTGAATAAGACATAATGCTATTCGATAACGTATCTTTATCCTATTATGTCTCTTAATTGATATGTGATGGTAATAGAGACAGAGAACCCTGAAATGCATATAGTCTTGTACATTTTTAAAGTTGAAACCTTTTGAATATTATGAATTTTGATATTTCACCACAGGATGCAACAGAGTAGCTGAGACCTTTCCAGAAAGTGACAAAACGTGTGTCTTGAGAAGCCTTTAAACAACATTTATGGTGTCACATGTAAGCTACCAAATTTTCAGAAAGACAGATTTATATTTACCTGAATTTATTGTCACTTAAACATTAAGATTTTAAAGAAAGGTTTTGCTGTTTTCCATACTACAAGTAGTTAGTGTTGACACTATTGAATATACAACTCAGCCATGTTTACTGTGGAAAGACAACCATCTCAGCAGGATAATGGTACTAGAGACCCAGCTGTGGATTTCTCAAGCAACTAACCATGTGCAAATAGTACTTCTCCCACTCGGACTAGCATTCGTAATCTCAATAAAATCTTGGGAAGAAAAGGCTATTAAGTCTACTAAATGTGCCCTTTCTACAATCCACTTGTGACTATCCATATTGAATTCTCTCTCCTTCCCTCTCATTTTATATTTCTCATGTGCCAATTTATATGTTCACTTTTTGGAAACTTGCACTAAGAACAGAAAGTTGCAGCATCTCTTTCACTTATTCATACATACACACACATCCGTGAAAAGCAACAGTGCATGCATACTGCAAACGCCCATAAATCACCTTCAAAATCAATAAACTTCTTCATTAACCTTACCAACAATGTTTGGACTAGTCAAAGTCATCAACTAACATAGAGGAAAGCTTTAACAAAATGCTAACAGAAAGAAAACTGAAACACACTCTTACATTTCAGATCGATTGTAACTACTTCTAGGTCATATAATTTTTGCATCATCTTGTCACTTCTCAACATGCTTTACTGACATCACATGTAGAATATATAATATTACTACATACATTAAATCATTTGAAATAACTGCAGAAATCAAGGTGTGAGTGGAGTTCTGACGAAAGTTTATCGACCTGAAACATTAACTAATTTTACTTTCTCCATAGATGCTGCCTGACCTGCTGAGTGTTCCCAGCGACTTCAGTTTTTATTTCAGATTTCCAGCATCTGTAGTAGTTTGCCTTTGGCAAGTGGAGTATTTGATTTGCGGTCCCACAACAACAACAACAATAACAACAAAATTACATTTGTAAAGGGCTTTTCACATCGGGAGGACGTCCCAAGGCGCGGGAGCCTGCAGCATTAAGAGAGCCCTGGTCAAAGTCATAAACACCAGGTGGATGTTATCCACCAAATCCCATGGCATTAATCGAAAAGAGATGGGAGTTTCTTACAATGGCCAGGGCCAAATAAAATTGGCCAGTCATTTCATGGCTGTTTGTGAGATGTTGCTGTGTCAAATTGGCTGCTGAGTTCAATTCCAAAATACGGAGTCATTATACTTTACAATAAATCCTGTGACGCACTTTGAGATGCCCTCCCGATGTGAAAGGCACAAAATCAAATGCAAGGATTATCATAAACATCATCCTTTCTGTCTATTACTAGCGCTTCTTGTTCTCCTTGATATTTATTGCCTTTGTGCTCCGCTCCACCCTCGGCGGCCGTGCCTTCAGCCACTATGCCCCGAGGCTCTGGAACTGCCTTCCTCACTCCCTTCGTCTCGCTCCCTCCCTTCCCATTTTCAGGTCTCTGCTGAAGATCTTTCTTTTCGACTGCACCTTTGGTCACTTTCCCCCCCTCCTCCTGGCTCGGCCCCGGGATCCGTTACTGTAAAGCGCTCTGAGATGCCATCCGGCGTGGAGGGTGCTATATAAATCCAAGTTGTTGTTGTTTAGCACTGTTGACCATTCCATTCTTCTCCATCTCAACTTTCCTATAAACCTTTCGTTTTGGCTCTAACCAAGACTGTTTCCTTTGACGCTGACAACATCAGATGGCTTCTTAACTACTTCTCCAAAAGCAACCAAAACCTTCATCCACACCATTGTCACCTTCAGACTTTGTCCTTGTCTCTTCACTGTGTTGTGTTAACACCAGGGATAACCAGAGAATAGCCAGAGAGAGCAGAAGCAAAATAAGAGTATAAATTAACATAAGCTATTCTTGTACAATTCTTACTGGGTTACTGGGTAATACTGACAAATTTGAGAATGAGTAACTTATCCACTGTCTGTGGATTGTATGAAGCATGAGTGCATCTCAAAAAGGAAGGGAAAAAAATACAAAATATAAGCTACATTTTTATGCCAGCATAATAAAATTGAATGGTAATTAGACACAGGTCACCTAGCTCTCTCTGAATTCATGCATTAGAGAGACAAAAGGAAGTTTATTACAGATGGTCAATAAAAATAAATGACTGAATTGGTAGATCTGGTTACATTTCACTAATTTTATTTAGGTTTCAGAATTTGGTCTTGAAACATAAATGATAACCATGGCTACCATAATTGTGTTGGTTGTAACAGAATGACATTACTTCATCAGGAATCCACCAAGAAATTGATGAGTATCTTTCAAACATGAAGCAGAAACTCAGCTGAGACATGAACTGTGTTTGCAGGGGACTAGTCATCACTTCACTATAAATCAACTTCCCACTGTTCAGACAAATACAGGTTATGCCACATGTTGATGTGTGAAACAGCTGGAATCTTGATACAAAACTGTAAATTTAGCACAAACAGGTAAAGATGGATCAAATAGTTACTTTGATTACACCTTGCTTATTTGACTATACTATATATGATATTATATGCTGCAACATTCCTGATGAATTAAAAGCTGCTTATTTATTGGCGTAGTCAATTAAATATTGAAACAAACAAATAAATAATAATAACTTGTAAAACATACCCAAAATCATTTAAGAGATATAACATTATATAATATTCCTAATATTTTTAACTTTGGCATATTTACCTTTCATCTATCCCATTTGTGACTTTTGCTTGTATGGGTTTATTCACAAAGTACTTCATTCATCATTTTGGATGAGTAGGACAGCAGCTAACACTGTATGAGTCTTTTAATCAGTTTGGCTCAGTCACAGTGGATATCTGCGAATGATCCATCTATCACCTAGCTTCATTCTAAGCCTTATTCTAGTTTGACAAGATGTTTTGTGGCTTCATTCCAGTGTAAAATTTAGTCAGCCATTTGCGTCCTGAAACATATGAGTCAGAAAACTCAATAAAGGAAACAAACAAATTCACCAGAGCTTATTTGTTGTCTTCAACTGATCTGTTGTTTTAAACCCATTATAATTGTCTTGAAACTGTTCACTAAAAGTATTTAGTTCTGCACATCTACTTTAATAACTGCATATAACAACTGTATATAAAGGCTGCAGAATCCATTCTGTTTAGCTTTATGGATCCCACCACATGGTTTTAGTCTCGACTCTTTCTGCTCTACTTATGAAATATCCTGCCAGAGTACAATCTCACTGCCCAGACTGCCAATTAGTTAATTCATCAAGTGACAACAGTTTAATCTCTAAAAAAACACAAGTAAGATTAACTTGATCACTTCTACAACTATATCAGACCTTGATAGATTCAAAAATAGCCCTTAGAGTCGGTTTTCAACAAATAGACCAATATATTTTCATAATACATGTCAAGACCCAGGAAATTAGTTAGGAAATAAACTATTTTGAACTTTGGAACTAAAATGAGCAAAAAAAATTAGAAATGGTAGAGAGGACCTTATTATAATAGTTGGGAATGAGAAGAGTAAAGCCAAAATAATAAGTCGTAAAGCTACTGCTGACAGGTAATGGCAGTATTTTTTCCTTTTATTTTCAAGTCACACCTGGAAGGATCACAGTAAACTGTACTCAAGCAAAGGCAGGCATGCTTGTACTCAACCTGCACCTGCTCGCAAAAAAATATTTCTACACAATTCAGACTTTAGAATAATAATCATAAATAATCCTATTTGCATTTAAACATATCCTATTTTTCAGTTTGCAGTGAAGCTTGTAATAGAATACTTCTCAATTCTGTCACATGATACAGCTTTCAACAATGATACATGGAATACTTGAACACGCTGGAACAGGGCATTTAATTTGATGCTTTTGACATGATCACAACAAAGCACTCATTGAATTCTCAATTGCTTTGCAAAGAATGTAATGCAAGTGGATTTTTCAAAACTATGAAAATATGTCTGAAATCCTGCAGAATGATCAGATAAACTCCAAGAAGGCCCTCTCTGTCATTTCCTGATGTGCTGTAGTTGTAACAACTACAACACATCAGTTGTAGTTGTAGCCTTTACATTGCATTTTCACACCTCAGTGCCCTTTGCTTTCAATTTTCCATCCACTGCAAATAAAATCTAAAATGTTGTCAACGTTGCTAAACTTTAACTTCAGAAAATTAATGGAGGGAAAAGAACATGATGGTGAAAAAAAAGGTTAGAATTGAGGCAAGGATTGTCAATGGAACAAAATCAAAACTGCTGCAGTGGCTCCATGTTATGCCTGATCTAGTCTGTAGTTAAAATAATTCAATGCCAATGTGATATTTTTACTAAATTGAGGAAAATGTTATGTTGATATTTTAAATTGCCATTAAAACTTTCAAATCAC